TGATATGAACGTGTCAAGCTGAACTGGACCTACCAAATGGTTGTGATGGGGTCAGTGTTTAAGGAAATGCGGGGTGGGAAGGCAGTAAGCTCATCTGAGACCCCAAGGAGGGGCAGGGACCATTATAAGTCTTAACAGTATCAGCTGCTGTAGGCCCTATAGACTTACAGGCCTCCCTCTAAAAGCAAGCAAGGTAGGTTTCAACAACAGATGAAGGAACTGAGAGTATTAAGTCATTTACCAAGTATTAAGTATAAAGTATAAAGTATTAAGTCATTTACCAAGGTTTTTAAAGCTATAGGGCAGAACCAGGGATGTGAATCTGGGACGTCTCAAAAACTGAATAATATTTTCCTAAGTTTGCTTGCTTGCTTTTTCTTTTTTTGTTTGGTATTGGGGATTGAATCCAGGGGCACTTTACCACTAAGCAACACCCCAGCCCTTTTTATTTTTTAAAACAAATTCTTCCTAAATACTTAGGGGACTTACTAAGTTGCTTAGGCTGGCCTTAAACTTGCAATCTTCTGCCTCAGCCTCTTGAGCTGCTGTGGTTACAGGTATGCGCCACTGTGCCCAATGTTTTCCTAAGGTTTCACCAAGTCTGGTATAAGAATATCTTTCAGGGGTTGGGGATGTGGCTCAAGCGGTAACGCGCTCGCCGGGCATGCGCGGGGCGCTGGGTTCGATCCTCAGCACCACATAAAAATAAAACAAAGATGTTGTATCCACCGAAAAGTGAAAAATAAATTAAAAAAAAAAATGGATATCTTTTGGGGTTGGGGATATATCTCAGTGGCAGAGTGCTTGCCAGATAGGTCCAAGGCCCTGAATTTGATTCCTAGTAGCCCACAAAAACAAAAACAGGAAAAAACTTCTTATGGAAAAATTCAAACACATTACAAAAAGGAAAAAGAACGTACCCTCATGTATCTATCACCCAGTTTCATGAATAATCCATATGCTCCCTTTATTATCTCACCTATATTCTTAGCCACTCCGCCTAACACATGCAAAAGCCCTGGGTTCGATCCTCGGCACAACATAAAAATAAATAAAGATATTGTGTCCAACTAAAAAATAAATAAATATATAAAAGAATTGGGTCCAGGTTTTCTTCTGAAAGTAAGTTTCAGAGTGGTGTATGTGTGTGTATGTATGCACTTATTTATTTTATTTTTATTTATTTATTTTTGTATTACCAATTGTAGCCGTTGTACCCAGGGGGTGCTCTACCACTGAGCTACATCCCCAGCATTTTTTTTTTTTAAACTTTATTTTTTAGTTGTAGTTGCACACAATACCTTTATTTTATTTATTTTTATGTGGTGCTGAGGATCGAACCCAGGGTCTCACACGTACTAGGCAAGCACTTTACCACCGAGCCATATCTCCAGCCCCCGCCTTTTTAAATTCTGAGATAGGGTCTCACTAAGTTACTCAGATTGGCCTTAAACTTCAGATCTTCCTGCTTCAGCCTTATAGGCATGCATCATGGTTTTATGTTTAGATCAATTATACAACTCTATAGTCAATTCTGAATCTTACATAAACTATGAGTTGACTGCCCCCAATTGGTCCATTATAATTTGCTGCAGACTTTCCTTTTATTTTAGGAGTAGCATCCTTGTAGAAGATCATATGGCCACATTTATATATATTTTTCTCTGGACTCTATTCTGCTCACTGGTTCTTTAGTCCTGATGTAGCTTTACTGTAATCTTGAAGTCAGATAGTTAAACACCTCCAGTTTGGGGGCTGAGGATGTAGCTCACAGGAGGTCCAAGGTTCAATCCCCAGCATCTCAAAATAAATAAATAAATAAATAAATAAAAATAAGAAGACCTCCAACTCTGTACTATTTTTTTTTTTCAATTTGGAACCAGCTTGTCAATTTGTACAAACAAGACTACAAAGATTTTTATTGGGATTCATCACTACATCTTCTAATCCATCAATAGAAATCTCTCCATTATTTAAATCATCCTTCAATTCTCTAAGTGATATTTTATAGTTTTCAATGCAGAGCTTTTATCCATTTTGCTAAATTTATCCCTGAGCATGACACTGTTTTGGATGCTACTATGAAGGCTACTGTTTTTTTTTTTTTTTTTAAATATATATATATTTTTTAGTTGTAGTTGGATACAATACTTTTATTTTATTGATTTATTTTTATGTGGTGCTGAGGATGGAACCCAGTGCCTAGCACTCTACCTCTGAGCCCTAGCCCCAGCCCAAGGCTACTGTTTTTAAAAGTAAATACTCTGGGGGCTGGGGATGTGGCTCAAGCGGTAGCCCCCCGGGGTCGAGCCTCAGCACCACATACAAACAGGGATGTTGTATCCGCAGAAAACTAAAAAAAATAATAATAAAAAAAAATTCTCTCTCTCTCTCTGTCTTAAAAAAAAAAGTAAATACTCTGCAGTATTTACTTCTTTGTTCTGGTTGATTTTTCGAATTTTCCATTTATGACTTTTTATATAAATAATCACACAGGCTGTAAATAAAAAGACTCTTTTTCTAATCATTATTTCTTTTTCTTGCCTGATTAGGACCTCCAGTACAATGCTGAAGTCATGAAAATAAAATCCTTTTCTAATTCCTTATCTTTTAAAATACCTTTATTTTATTAATTTATTTTTTATGTGGTGCTTAGGATAGAACCAAGTTCCTCAAACGTGGTAGGCAAGCACTTTTACCACTGAGCCCCAGCCCTAGTTCCTGATCTTAAGATGAAAAACATTCAGTTTTCTACCATTAAGTATCTTAATACTCAATTGTAGATGCCTTTTTAACCAAACCAAGAAAATTTTCCCTCATTAGTTCGCTCTGAGGTTTGTTTAAAATCATGAATAACTTTTGAATATTGTCAACTGCTTTTTCTGCATCTGTTGAAATCATTATAGAATTTTAATCCTGTTAACTGGTAATTTACAGATTAATTTTTGAATGGCAAAGTAACATTTCGATTCTGGGATAAACCACTCTAGGTTAGAATATATTTATTCTTTTTACACATAATCAGGTTTGATTTGCTACAATTTTGCACATCTTCTATTTTAAAAAGTTGTTGCTGCTGCCTGTACTGAACATGTACAGATCTTTTTTCTTCTCAACAATTCAGTATAACAACTATTTAAATAGCATTTACATTGTTTTAAATATTGTAAGTAGTCTAGAGATAATTTAAAGCACATGTGAGAATATGCATAAGTTAAAGGAAATATACTATGCCCTTTTCTGTAAGGAATTCGAGCATCCTGGAATCAACCCCCTCCCCCACCTAGTGTGGATATCTTGGGATTACTGTACTAAATTATTCAGAGAAACTGCACACCTCTGCAGACACAGGGCTAGTTCTGAAAACTGTGGCTTTCAAAAAATATATTACACACACATATACATTAGTAAACAGCAGAAGCAGGCACAGGCATTGCTCTGAGACATCCCCGTTATGGTCTTGGAAAGATCTTTTCATATTAAGAAGAGACTGGGATTCCGACACTTAGTTCAGCCAGAGATTGCCACAAGGCAGTTACCTGGGAGACTTTATCTGCATAACAAGACAACCCTTGCTGCAGCGCACCTCCCCCCTTCAACGTTCCACAGCATGCATTCCCTCCTTCACCCCCGCTACCAAAAGCCGAAGCTTTAGATCTATATACATAAAGTGGGCGGTAACTAGTGAAAGAAACGACCAGCCCCAAATTATGCATATAAGAGAAATTGATTTGCATGGGATTTGGAAGTGTTCGGCTACCTCCCACTGGGAAGAACTGGCTTGGACTAGGACTGCACTTAGGACCTCGGGGTGTCTCTCCGCAAGCCCTCCCCTTCCGCTTTCATGACGTTCGGTCTGCGTCCAGAATTGGAATGGCTCAGCCCAAAACCGGATGCTGGATAAATCGTGTTTCCGAAACAAACGCCCTATCATTGCACTCTTTCAAAAGCTGATTCCTGAATGTACCTATTTCCAAAAAAACCCAGGCTTTGCCTTCTACACACGCCTCCCCCCACGTCTTTCTACGCAATGGTAGCGTCCTTCTAGATTGTCGACGACCGGGGGGTGGAGTACACCATTCAAAAAGGGGGAGGGCCTGAGGTTTGTATCAAAACAAACACCCGGTCCTTTGCAAAAGCAATAAAAAGTAGTTCAGAAAAAGAATGGAAGAGGGGTAGAACAGTTTCCCTCCGCAAGAAATAGGAACCCGCGTAAAATACATTTTCTTTCTTTCTACTTCCCTCTTACTGGGACAACAGTGAGCTCTTCCGACAAAGAGAAACCGGAAATGGTGCTGCAAGTAGCAGAAATGTAAATGTAGAGCCAAACAATAACGGGGCTGCCCGGCCTCTCAGACCTGCAGGATCCTGCCCCGTCTCGCGGGCTAACCTTTCATTTAGCACTTCCCACATCTATAGCTGATAGTCTTTAATTGGATTTTCTTCAGCTAACGGAGCCGGGCGCTCACTGGAGAGATCACTTCAGAAAGGACAAAGGTCCGGAAGTTGGGGACCTTAGCGGCTTGGGTTTCCCGATCACCCCAATTAATATTGGAATGGAACCCGAGGTTCTTCTAGGATGTCATGGGCTCCAACATCTCAAGAAAGTCTCAAAACTAGTGCTTTGTGCATCATATTTCAGAGATTCCCAGCATCCTGCTCTAGGTAGATAGGGGCATATGGGGGGGCCAGGGGGAGGGAGTAGGCTTTTGGAAGGCTCCAGATTCCCCAAAGTCCAACCCCGTGCCCAAGTGTTCAGCTTTGAGTCTGGCTGATAGTAACATCCCCGTTATCTACACCCAAGCCTCCCAACACTGCATTTCCATGTTGATCCCGCCAGCCATTTCCCCTTACCCAGTGAAGCCCCGCTGCCCCCACCCCCCCAAACCCCGCGATTCTCTGGAGCTGCAAATACAAGCAGTCAAGAGCCCATGACTCAGAGAAGACTCATCAAGCTCAATCGAGACCTTACCCCGACCTCAGGGGAGCGTGTCACCGACCTGGGAAGCACGCTCCAAGCCCGGTCGCCAAGTTCTGCTCAGAGCCCCGCAGCTACCTGCGCCCAGAATGATGGCTCTGGACTTTTGAGGAGCTCAAAACTTTTAGCGCCAGTCTGAGCACATGGGAGGGGAAAATCCCAATCCCAGCAACCCTCGCGAGGTTCCTGGCACAAAGCTGGACAGTCGCCATGACAAGTAAGGGCAAGTAATTCGCCTGCAGGCGGATGGAAGAAGTTGGAGAGGATGCGGAGAGTCAGGATTCGCGTTGTAGCTCCTGACATTTTGGAGCAGGAAAGTAATACAAGCTAGAGCTGTGAGGGCAGAATTGGTAGAAATTTTGCAGGACTCCGCTAATGTGTCAAGTATAAAGGGTGGAAGGAAGAAAACTTGCATTTGCCATTCTCTCGGCCTGGAATACTGAGCTTTCAGAATTAGCTGGATCGTTTCTTGTCATTAGCTAAAATGTCACCTTTTAGGAAGGCTTTCCTTAATATCTCAATCAACTGTGATCCCCTGGAGACTTTATATTACACTATCTTGTTTAATTTCCTTCGTAGCCCTTATCACTGAAAAGACCCATTTGTGCATCGACTTTAGGGTAGAGAATTGTTAGCTATCTTATTTACTGCAGTATTCTCCAATGCCTAGTATAGTGCTGTGTAGGAAGTTAAGAGCTTGATAATATTTGTCGAATGAATGAAGAGGTCTGAGGAATTGGGCGGATGAGATGCAAAACCTGAAGCAAGCGCTCTCTGCAGGCGAGGGCGGGTAGGTGCTTTAAGAATTACCGTGGTGGACGGTTAAGGGGAGCTCAGGCATTCTGGCCTAGACGGAACGTTCAGACTACAACTCCCAGCAGCTATTAGGATTCCTAAGGCTTGTTGCGTACGCCGAATCCTACCGGTACTTCTCGCCTCTCTGTGGGTCGCCCGCGAAAGCTGATCCGGGATTCCGAGGGCCAATCGGAAGCCTGGCCCAAGTCCCGCGAGAACAAGAGGCGCGGAGCGGCCTGAGGTTCTTAGCAGAGTTGTGTCTTTACTCTTGATGTCCTTGTATTCTCGCCGGCCGGGGGTCTTCTGCCTCCTCCACGGAAAAGGAAAGAAGGCACTGGTGGGTTTCCCCACTTCTGATCCCTGAGAACTTTGAAGCAGTTCCGGCAGTCCTGTGCGTCTGGCCGCCCGTAGGCAGTAGAGACTTGCCCGGCTTAGGCCAATGTCTGCCGCGCTTCCTCTGCAGCATGAAGACGTCGGAGGAGCAACTCTTGGCTCCAGACAGCCTTCCTTTAGACCAGGCCCCTGCCTGTCCCTCTCCCCACGCTTCTCCGATGGATAAAAATACAGACCCTGAATTTATACCACCGCCACCTGGTGGAGATGATCTGTCCCAGAGGTCCCCAGATCCTGTGGCTGGCTCATCTGTGTCCCAGGAGCTGGGGGAGGAGACCCCAGCATCTCTCTCCACTCCCTTGGAAGCAGAGTTTGATACTCCTCGTGAGTTGAGTCCTCAAATCAAGAAGCAAGAACTTGATGAAAATGCTAGCTCTCCTGCAGAAAAAATGAGTGTTCCGGAGTTGGGGTCCGAAGAAGCCATGGAAGGCGTGTCTGAGGAAGCTGCTCCAGAGGATGAGGAAGACACGTAAGTGGTAGTTGACTTTGTCATCTAAGGAGAGTGAAAGTGTGTGCTCACTTCTCCAGGTGCATTTCCCCTTTGCTTCAGCGACCCAGGTTTGTTCCTTCATCTTCCTTACAGCACTTGGAACTACAGCTTCTCCCGGATACCTCGGTTTCTCAGTGGTTCCTGGTCTGAGTTTAGCTCCCAACCTGAGAACTTCTTGAAAGGCTGTAAGTGGTAAGTAAGGACAATGGGGCAGAGAGATGAAAACACCACACTTGTCTGGGGAAAGCCTCCACCAGAGGTGGGCACAAGAGGGGAATCCCTCAGAGTATTTGAGCTTAAAATTTTTCTATGACTTTGTGTCTTACAAGGACTCGGGGGCTTACTTACTACAGAGGTAGACCCTATACTTGGAAGGCATAAGTCTGTCCCGTTTCCTAACTCTTTGCTATATTTCTAGGGCCCCTGATGGTTCCTGCATCTTGACCAATAGTGCTGATAACATCCTGCGGATTTATAACCTGCCCCCAGAGCTGTATAATGAGGGAGAGCAAGTGGAATACACAGAAATGGTAAGGGTAGGATCTAACTCTGTTCCTTTTTGGAGACACTGCACATTTAAACCCTTCATGTGGATGAAGAAAGTATAGTCCACAAATTTTCTGTTCACAAATAGTACTTTCCCTGCTCTATGAATTTTCACATGTAGCATTTTTGCCCTGAATTTTGAAGTCATTTTAAGAGATGTTTGTGGGTATGGTGGCACACTCCTGTAATCGCAGTGATTCTGGAGGCTGAGGCAGGAGTATCACAAGTTGAAGGCCAGCTCCAGTAACTTTGTGAGACTCTGTCTCAAAATAAATAAATAGGACTGGATGTGTGACTCAGTGGTAAAGCACATATGGCTTAATCCCTAGAAACCCCTCCACTAAAGTGAGGGGGGGGGTATTTGACCCTTCTTTAGTCAGGAATATCTGTTTTCTCTAGAAAGTAGTAGATTTCTTGTGACAGTGTTTAATTTATTATAGATATTTATTGAATAACTACTAATATGTTAGTCACTGTATTGCTGAAATGGTAAAGAATTGAACATGATAGATGAAGAGCGGTTTTTTTGTGTATGGTTTGCAAATGTAAACCAATAAATAAACAAGATCATAACAGATTAAAATAAATGTTCTGGGAGACTGAGATAGGAATTTGAATCAACCTGCACAGCATAGTGAGACCCTATCTCTAAAATAAATGCATATATGCATACTCTGAAGGGAACAAACAGAACCAGGAGAAACCAACTGGAAGATTCCACTTTAGATACAGTGGTCAGGGAGGGGCTCTCTGAAAAGATATTTGAGCTGCGATATGAAAAGAATAATGAATCAGTCAGATGAAGATCCAGGGCAAGAACTTTCCAGGAAGAAGCAAGAGTATTATAAATAGACCCAGAGCTGGGAAAGAGCTTTTTATGTTCATAGAACAGAAAAAATATCAGTGTGGAGGAAAGTGGGGTGAGTATACAGAGGTGACCAGCAGCAACGTCATGTGAGGTCTTCTGGGAAGGCCTTTTGGAGTTCGAGAATCAATAGGAAAGTTTTAGAAGAGAGAAGTGAGTGGGTTTGGGGTGAGCAGGAGTGAATCAGGGAGACTCACTAGGATGCACTTAATCCAGGTGAAAGATTATGGTGAGCTGGTGAAACGATGTTAGGAGGGATGTAGAGATGTGGATGGATTTGAAGTGTATTTTGTAAGACTTGAAGATTCATTGGATGTGGAGGTACAGGGAAGGTGATGTTCAGATTTTTAAGTTTTTAAGTTTTTTTTATATGTATATATTTAGTCGTAGATAGACACAATACCTTTATTTTACTTATTTTTATGTGGTGCTGAAGATCAAACCCAGTGCCTCACTTGTGTTAGGCAAACTGAGCTACAACTACAGCTCTTGATGTTTAGATTTTTGCAGTTGGGTGGTTGGTAGAACACTTTATTCAAAGGAGAAAATAGATCTGAGGATAGAAGTCAAGGGGTATTAAGTATATTAAATGGGAGATGTAATCCTAAGGGGAAAAAGTGGGGTCAGGGATTTACTCTAAGAAGTGGTAGAATATTTTTAGATGGCATCTCATGCCTCGAGGATGGATTCATTCTCTAGAGAGAGAAAGTAGGTGAATGAGGAGAAGGCCCATATAGAGCCCTGGGTGCACCAGCATCTGGGCCCAGGTATAGGAGAAGCAATAAAGGTGGAAACAATCATGACTAATGCTGCTGAGAGATGGAGTGAGGTAGACTTAGAGAATGACAAGAGACCATGTGTGGTGCACACATGTAATCCCAGTTACTCAGGAAGTGAGGCAGGAAGATTGCAAGTTGGAGGCCAGCCCAGGCAACTAAGTGAGACCCAGTCTCAAAAGGACTCAGGATATAGCTCAGTGATAAAGTATCTCTAGGTTCATCCTCCAGTACTCCAAAAAAGAAAAAAATGGAGAGACTGACAAGAGGATATTAGTGACCTTGACAAGTGCTTTCAGAGGAGCAACGGAGGCAGAAACTGATTATTGTGGTAGAAGGAAAAGAATAGACAATTATTTGGAGTTTTTCTGTGAAAGGGAGCCAAAAAATGTGACCAAAGGGATTGTGGGTTAGAGGGTTTATTGGGTGTTTTGTGATGTCAGGAATAACCCAGCAGAGAAAGGAATTGATGCTTGTCTTATTCTGTTTTGTGTTGCCACAACAGAATACCTGAGACTGGGTAATTTATAAAGAAAGATTTATTTGTGACAGTCTGGTGTCTGGGAAGCCCAGGATCAAGGGATCACATCTGGTGAGTCTTCTGTTGTGTCATAGCCTGGTGGAAGACATCCTGACATGGCAGCATACAAACCTAGGTCTCTCTTCTCTTCTTATGAAGTCACTAATTTCTATCACGGAGGCTCTACCATCATGACCTCCTGTCACCCTGTTTCCCTTCCAAAGAATCCACCTCCAAATACCATCACTGTGTGAATTGGGGTTTAAGTTGTGAACTCATGAATTTTTGGCAAACACATTTAAACCATAGCAATGCTGTAGCAGAGAGGGGATAACAAAGTTTCTGAGTGGTTCAGTGAAGACAGGATTTAGAGCTCAATGGCGATGTTGGCTTAAATGCAGTGTCCTTCCTCTTCATAGGAAGAAAGGTAGAGCATTCAAAGGCAGCTGTTTGGTGATTAGAAGACTTGGATATTCCTATCTCTTGGTTTCTCTATTCTCAGTGAAGCATAAAGGGAGGTCTCTAGCTAAAGGAAGAGGGCCCTTGTGGAGAGAGCAGAAGGCATGAAATAATCTGTCCTAGAAAGTAGAAAATCCAAACTACTGAGGAATGTGGTAGTATAGATGCTCCTTGACTGACAAGGGTTACATCCTGATAATCTCTCATACGTTGAAAATATTGTAAGTTGAAAATGCATTTAATACACCTAATGTACCAAACATCACACCTTCACATGGTGGATTGTGTTTTCACTCATGATACTGCATGTTTTT